CTTTTGACAGGGGGGTCAGATCGACTTCCGGTTTGCGCCAAAAATTTTCTTTTTTCATACTCTTTCTAACGATGTATCACATGATGGGGGTTGCCATTTGAAATTTTTGAGTTGCCCCCCACCCCCCCTCCCCCTGGGGGGGTGAAGAACTGAAAAGTACCTCAAAAAGTTTCCTCCTCGATATGAGGAAGGACGCCACAAACCGCAAATCGAAATCATAATTAGAACTAAAGTTATGGCCAGTGGTGCGTAACTTTTGAATAACCCTGTATCCGTTTTGACACGACCCCTGAGATACATAAGATTACATGCATGACAGGGCTCATGTCAAAATCGATAAAATTCCTTTGGATTTAAATGCATCCAACTGCAAGAGAACTCACCGGCAATGATGACTCCATTCTTGGAATCTGTGCACCATGATTCAAACAATTCTCTTGAGAGACCATTTTGCAGCATACCAGGTGTAGCCATAATCACGCATGGACCAATGTCATCAAAATGATCTATACCCTGAAAGATCAAACATGAAGTCTGAATACCGAGAGCACCAAGATGAAACATAAAAAGAAAATTAAAAGGAGGAAACAGTATTTTCATTTTGATGGTAACCAGGCTCCTGAAATCAATAAAGTTTTCACACCATCTGGCAAATTTTCCAGAATTATTGTGGTAAAAAATTTTCCATGTTGAGAAAATGAGTCACAAAATGCTTGTTGTGCCCCAAATTTACCTTGATTTGTAGATCCAGCATTTCCTGCCACCTTTAAGTCAACGGTGGAAGGAAATACATCAAAATTCGTTCTGATTGGAAAATCTGCCCAGTGTTTGAATCCAACAGGGCACTGTGCGCAAAATGCACTTAAGAGTTTCTTATTTGCGTCTAAATAATTGGTGGTGGGGCCAAAGTTAGTACCGAAAAATGCATGATCATTTAAATATGGAAACATTGGAACCTAGGTAACCTTTTTTGATTGACACTGTAATCTGTTAGGAACTCCTTCAAAAGAATTTAATTGGGGAGGGAAAGCTATGAAAATGTGTGATTGGTTAGAAAAAGCCTAATTCTAAGGTGCCGAAAGACATCCAGTACTTCAGAAAAAAACGTTTAGGCCCCTAGATATTGACCAAGCAAAGTAGGTCTAAAAATTTTTCAGTGAAGTTCAACCGCTGAATCTGTTCATTAAAAGTTAAAATAGGAGACCCTAAAAGATACTTGAAGCTCGTTTATTGTGCACATTCAAAATATTCTCTAAATGAAAAGCGACTGAAAAGATGGTCCATTAAGTAAGAAATATTTCCAGAAATTCGATACTTACTTTTAAATTTGAGATATGTTTGAACACAAACGGATTGTTAATTGCTATTTGCCTACGGATCCTTTCGTTCATGGCATTGATGAAGGTTTGATAAACAGCCATACACTTTTTTGCTAGTGATGAAGCATAGTAGATTGGAATGTCGTGAAGTTCTGGGTGCTGACTCCAGTATTCATCTGTAGAAAAAATGCATTAGCAATAATTTTTTGTACGCTGCTCAACTGTCGCTGTGTTGTAGTGGTCAACTCAATGGTAAAAGTAGAGAAATTTTAATTATCTTGATCAAGTAGATTACCAAGGTGGCAGATTTGATATTATACTTTATATTTTTGGAGGACAGCCAATTATTATCACTACTAATAGTTTCAAATGTTCAGAATATTTTATGAACATCAGATGTTATTCTATTGAAATGAACATCAGTTCTGAAACAACGCAATCAAGATCCACGTTTTCCATCATTGACATGCAGTTATTAATGTTGATGATAAAATTAAAGAGGCATTTTGTATCTTTCTCAGCAACAGAGCCAACATCTTACCATACTCATTTTATCTTGTGCATGAAAATCTAATCGGGGCTGTCTGTTAAAAAAATCCACAAAAAAACAATGATTCAAAGAAAAGACTGCCATAAAAATACTGCGTTTATGGTGAAAATTTAACTTTAATTTATTCAAATGGGCCTGTTGCAAACTTTTGCTAGAGCAAAACTAAGAGTTGTTTCTTACAGATAATGCCTCAAAAATCACGATGAGCGCATCGGCAAAGTCTGAAATGCACTCATAATTTCACAATCTGCGTAAGAAATTTGCGGTTTTTTGAGCTTCCCGCTTCGAAAACGATACTACGGTACAGGTGAAAATCTTGTTAGAGGAGTCGTTCCATTGGCGGCAATACTCATCATGGCCGACGCCAGTCCGCCAAAACACGTGTGATGGGACGAGATAACACCTGAACAGGATTAAACCAGATAACAATCGGCGTCTTTACGTTCATATTTTCCTCGCCCGCCTTAATTGACCTTGAACTCTCCTCGAATTACG